TGTGCCCGCGCAGTGCGTGTGTGTGCCCGCGCAGTGCGTGTGTGTGCCCGCGCAGTGTGTGTGTGTGCGTGCGCAGTGTGTGTGCGTGGACCCGCAGTGCGTGTGCGTGAAATATCTGGACACGGTCCTCTGGGTGGGCTCCTCCGCGTCAGGCGAGAGGCTGCATTGGCTGGGTCGTGTAGCCCACGCATGCACAAAAGCGGCTTCTGTTTGGTCGGATAGATGGGGGGCTAAAAACAAAAAAAGGGGGCCGGTGTGGCGGCGGCACGGGCCAGACAAGAGGCGGAGACCGTCGTGGTAGACAGGAGCACGCGGAGCTGAGTGGAGATGCCGATTGGGCTGTGTACCGGAGGTGTCAAAGGGGGCTCGTGAAGGACGCTGCTGGGCAGTGGACCCCTCCACCGCTGCTGGAGGAGCGACGCTCAACGAGGACGAGCGGAGCACCGGGCGGACAGAGCAGCAAGTCGGCAGCAGTGGGAAGCGCAGGCGGTGGCGGATCTGCCAGGCGATGTCATGTCGGGTCAACCCACGGCACCTGGGTCTGCCCCGTGACCCGATGATGCCAGGGAAGCCTTCAACACTCCACTTGGCCTCAAAGTGCCACCTAGCCTGGCACAAGGGGTACCGTGTTGGAACTTCGCCTCGTGGCTGCTGTTGTTCTGCCAACACTGCCGAGACACGTTTACACGTGGGGCCGTACGCTGCTCGAGGCGCTCAGGGGCATGCTGCTCTACGGTATTTATAGCGAGCTGAGCATTTCGCTATTCCTAAAATGGCATTGAATAAATAAGTGGCGAAGAGCCAAGACACCACGCACAGTTTGGACTTAATCATGTTTGGGGTTAATGTCCTGAGTATGGTCTCCTCCCCTCCACCCCCGTCTCTTCTGCTGCTTGGCGTGGAAGTTTATAATTTGTTTTGCAACTTTGGGCACCACGGTGGCTAGGAGATGTAAACTCCACAGGAGGTCGTGGGTTCGATCCGGACCCTGACGCTTGTATATTTGGAGTTTACACGTCTCTCCCTCCCTGGTTGTGTGGATTTTTTTTCCGGGTCCTCCGGTTTTTCCCCTCCACATTTAGCATGAACGTCACGCGTTTCGAGTACTTGGCAGCGATGCATTTCCACGTGATAAGCCGCTGCTGCGTTGAGCTATCATTTGTGGCCAGGTCTCTTCTGAAAAAGAGCTTGATAGCTCAGTGTGCTTTACCTGGTTTAAAAAAAAAATAATAGCTTAATGTCTGACTCGCCCCTACTGGGCATTTGTGAAAAAATAACTTCATAGCTCATCGTATTTTTTTCCCCCCAGGATAAATAAAGATTCTGAAGTGTCTAAAATTGACACCTGCTCCTGACGAGCAGCCTTGAGTCCCGGGCCGTGGGTGACGAGCGGTTGTTGTTGATGATGATGACGATTACGACGTTGTTGTTGCTGTTGCCGAGGTGTCCAATGCCGAGGTGTCCGATGACGAGGAACTACGCTCAGCTGGTGGAATTAAATGCAACGGCGTTGTTTGTGGAGCCGCTATAATCGGTGGGGATATGGGGGGCGCTATTTACATTTATTTTCGTCCGTGCCTATTTGTGGAAATTGTTCCTGGTATACTATATCCGCGTAGCCACTCGCGATAAATGCAGATCTTAGGATACATTTATCCGCCGCTACATTAATTTCACGGCTATTTTTCAATCCACTACTGGATGAAGGCCCTGCCAGGCTGTCAGTTGCGAAGGTTTATTTGACCATACTTCACTGTGGTGGTCAGTGCAGAGTTGATGAATGGGGGGGGGGCTCAAAATATACTTTCCATATATTACTTAAAATTCATACATATTGGGGTGGAGCGGTGGCACAGTGACTGTGTGCGAGTCCAATTGCTGCCCGTGGCTAAGAGCAGAGGCGAGTGATGTCCAAATGAGGTTTGGGCTCCACCTGCTTCGCTAAACCCGCATTGGTGAGCGTGCTGGAAGTTCAGTACATTCAAGCGACTGCCACAACCAACACGCCACGTTGGGGCCTTCATGCAGGAGTGGAATCATAAAGGCCTGTAAAGTCACAAATTATTGTATTTATCCACGAAAGGCCTCGAGTCTCAAGATGCTTTTTTTACAGGGGGGGGGGGGGTGCCTACATTGGTATCATTGGCCAATTCTGTGTAAATAATATTTGGTATGTGGGAGGAAACCGGATTCAGGAGAGAAAACGCATTACACAGGAGGGAATGAGACGCAACATCTCCACCAGATTCGACAATCCATTGCTGTGCAGCCATCTGGAATGTTCCATTCGTTTTAGTCAATAGCACACTTGATGAGATAACCAGTTCTGATGTCCATCACTGTCGTAGTAATAATAATCATGATTAAGCATGAGTGCAACATTGATTTTGTAAAAGCGTATACAATAGCACTTGATTGCATCAACAGTGGAAGCTGGGAAATGTCAGTCACAAAAATAAAACGAGTCTACAAATAACGTTTTAAAATAAACCATGTGACCAACACGAATACCATTCCACTGTACAAAGTATAAATCTTAGCAGGAATCCCTTAAACACTAATTTTAAGCGGTACGAGCTAGTAAATGTGGCTCGTTGGTGCAGCAAACCCAATGAAAATAAACAAGTACATCAATCACTTGCAACAAAGGTAGCCCTTGTAGGGAGCGGCGGTGGTAGACTGAGTGTGAATTTTGCTCGATGGATATTCTAGATGGATATTATCAAGGCCGTAATTATAATATATTGGGGGGGGGGGGACATGCACCCCAATATTCAAATATGCTCAAAATGTCCCCCCAAATATATTGCTATAAACAATATTTTAAAAAATAATAATTGCTATGCTATGTAAATAAAAAAATGTTTTGCTAAACCTTGGCCACAATATCTGGACTTGTCTTCATATAAAATGCATAGATTTATGTTTATATGATTGTGGTTATGGTTGTACTTTATTAATCCCTAAGCTCTGCCATTACATACAATGAAACAAGAAAAGGTAAAAAAGTAAAAACAGAGCAATGTAATACAAGACACTACTAGACATTATTGTAAAAAATAAATAAAAAGTCCATCCCATGTGTTAGTGAATATTTTAATATTTTAGGCAGGAAATTATTTTTAAAATTTAGATTTTTTTTTCTGGGGGGGGAGGGGACCCCTAGACCCCCTGGAAGATTTGGTCCCCCCCAATGTTGACTCCATGGCTACGGCCATCGATATTATCATCATCAGCCACAGTCTATCCACTGTTGGATGAAGGTCTGGATGAATGGGAGTTCTCAAAGCCCTTTTGTTTCTTGGGAATTTCTTAGGAAGAGCCAAATTATAATTTATATTCCAGAAATGTAAATAAATATCTGCGTATGTGTGTGTAGCGGGGAGCGGTTAGTGTAGCTGTTAGCGTGCTGCGCTACGAACTCGACAACCCGAGTTCGATTCCTGCTCAAGGGCAGCACTAATGACGATTATCTGAACCGGTCCTGGGCCTCCCCTAGGTCGACTCAGACCAAATTAGTGCCTGGTGTGGTGTGTAAACATTGCTACTAGGGAGACAAAGGAGGTCAGGCATGGTGCTGCCCACCCACCCCCCTCGTGTGCCGTTCCCGCCTTCATAGGTGCTCACTAACAGCACTTGCCCCAACAGTCTGTTACACTATACGGAGGATCTTTGTCCTTGTATATATACGTGTTTGGGATTCCCCCCCCCCCTTCCCAAATACAGTATTACTATTATTATTCCCGGTGAACTAAGGCATTTCATGAGATTAATTGCGTTTTCCTTTGAAACTCTGGCAGCCAGCAGTGCACCACCTGGAGCACAGAAGCTGATGTTGCTGACCGGACCAGGCTTTATGGGGCCTCTTTACCTACGCTCGGGAGGGGGCTCGCCTTTATAATAGGCCCTGCATAGCAAACTTTAATTCTGCATTTTAATGCTCAAAGTCAAATGAATGAGCCGAATTAAGTGAAAACCGAATGGAATAACCTGCCGGGTTATTTTTGGTGTGTGTGCATTGGTGATTGATCTGACATGGTCAACTGAAGAGCTCCTGGTGTAGGAAACCTAGATTCGAACCCAGTTCCCCGGCTCAATGCTCTGACACGGCCAATTATTCACCCCCTAGGCTGCCCAGCCCCTACTTGTGCGTTATAAAGGTTGTGATATAGCTACTTTAACACGTCACCATCATTTACATGTCTTTATTTTCTGAATTCGGGTTCAGGGGAGGTTTGTGCAGTACAGTTCTATTGCACTCACCAAAGTTATAATTTTGACTACGGGACTAATGTGCTGGTAATTTAAACATTTAAAGCGTGGAAAAAAAATCTTAAATGATGATGACAACGACGCTTGTTAGCTGCGCTCGAGGGCGTGTTACGATTCATCCATCGTGTGCTCAGCACGGCACAAGAAGCCGTGATGAGGATACTGTAGTAGCCTGATGGTTACGCTTCGACGGGAATTCTGACATTTCTGTGGCAGCCCGGAAGACACTAAATGTGGGCTGATAAAAGATTAATGTGGCTGAGTTGAGAGTGCCCTTCCTCCGACTTGCCGTGAACAGCTGCGGTGTATTACCCCTAATGGCCCGGGGCACAGCAGCCACGGCAGCGCAAAGCCACGAGGGAAATCTTTTGCTCTGCCATCGGCAGACCCGAGGTCCGTTTGCTGGCCGTTGCTGCGTTCGCCTTGTGCCGCCCAGGGAGAGCCGCCACTGTGGGGGTCCTCTTCGCTGGACCACAGTCGGGCATTGAAATTGCTGAGACGATTGTGTGTTGTAAGGCTACGTACGGTGCGAAAGAAGTTCAACATATATGCATAAGACGCTTTGAGTTACGGAAGCAATTGCCCTATGAATGCAAATAATTAACTTAACTCTCCCTGCAGCTGTCAGTTGAGGTTACCTGTGTGTTTACATTGGGTTCATTAGAGTGCGGTGCCTTCTTCCCCTTTCATCTGCCTGAATTTTCCCTTTTTCTCTTTTCCGTGCTCAGGCTTGGGCACAAATCCGGGTGCAAAAACAACGACACCAGCGCAATACGGCAAAGAGCATAGGCCCACGACGCTGCCAATCCAGCCCTTCATCCTGCACCACCACCTGAGCCGACAGCTTGCTGCCCGTCCCTTCCGGCCCGCCCGCGGCGCTCCGCAGCAGCCGAGCGCCGCTCTCCCGCTCGCTCACGGGCAGCCGCAGCCGCCAGCGTCGGACCCCGCGGGGAGCGGCGGCCCCCCTCCCCCAGCGAGCGCCGCCCATGGCCGGTCGGCGCCCCTGGGCCACCCCGGCGGTCAGCTTCCGCTGCAGATCTCTCGCCCGACCCTAACGGGCACCCGCCTGGCCGCCTTGGGGTCCTCGCAGTCGCTGGGCGGCTCGCAGGGCTCGCGGGACGTCGCGCTGCAGCAGTCGCTGGGGGAGGACGGAGGCGACGGCGCGGCGAGGCTAGCGCAGCGGGCGGCCGACGCCAGGGACAGCGGCAGCGACAGCGACCAGTGGAACTCGGACGGAGGCGCGGCGCTAGCGGTGGTTTCGGCGGGGACGGCACGGCAGAGCCTGGTGTGCGAGTGCCGCTCGCGGAGGCGCTGGCGCCCGCCCCCCGGCGCTATCCGCCCCTCGCCGCTCGGCAGCCTGTCGCCCATTCGGGCCGACCTCCTGCTCCTGGCGTCGGCTTCCCCGACCCGGGCCACCGCTGCCGCGGGCGCCGGCGGCGCGCTGCTGCCGCCGCAGCCGCCGCCGCCGCCGCGCAGCTCGTCGTACCCGCCCACCATCGCGACGTACTCGTGCGGCCTGGCCCTCGCCGGCGACAGTAGCGCGGAGCAGTCGCCCGCCGGCTCGAGCGTGCCGGGGAGGTGCTCGTCTTCGAAGTTGGGCGGATTCCTGGGCAACACGGTTGCAGCGCCGGCCGCGTCTTGCGCGTCGCCGAAGAAGGCCGGTGGCTCAGGCGGAGGGGTTTTTGGGGGGGAGACGTGGCGGCCGCAGCCGCTGAAGCGATCGCCGAGGTTCACGTCCTTGCAGGCGAACTCCAGTGCGCTCGGGCCTCCTCAGGGTCACTCGCAACGAGCTGCCGCCACCACCTCCACTGCCAGGCACCTGGCGGAGACGCGGTGGGGTGGCTCGGAGGCGCCGAGGCCGCTCAGGGATGGTCCAGCTGCTGAGAGGGTAGGAGACGGTGGAAGATTTCACAGCAGCTGCGCCACCTCAAGAGCCAGCCAAGGGACGCTGATACAGCCCGGTACAACTTATCTTCTTCTGTGCAGTTCTCTTGAACGTCTTGGTTCATTGCTCTCTGCCGCATTTCCATTTATTTTTAAATTAGTGGCATTTTTTTCTTTATGTTAAAGCCACATGCTTTGTGCTAGCGACAGCATTGTTGTTACTTATAATCACAGCTTAATACCTGAATGATATTTCACGATAAATTAATCCCTGCTTAATATCGTCGCTTACTTTGTGTTTGAGCCATTGTTTGGGTTTTTTAGAGGCTGTTTAAATATATATAAATAACAGTCTTGAATAAATGTGCATTAGCCATTGCCTATTTAGTGGAAAATGTTAAACATATTCTTAGCTCTTTCGGTAAAGTCAGATATTTTATTATTTTATTGTTTCCCTTCAACGTGACTTTACCGAAAGAGCTAAGAATATGAATTACTGCAGTCACGAAAGCTTTGAATCAAAATGTTAAACATGTTTCCGAGTGCAATTACTAATTACCACTGCTAGGATATTATTTTATATTTACTGACCGGTATGTGTGTTGCCATGGTCTAATGGTTAGCAGCACACTGGACTTTCGATCTACTGGCATAGCAGTTGTTAACGACGGTGAAGCCTCTGTCCATTTTGCAGTATAAATGTGCGCACCACAATTACTCAATTGGTGGATCGTGTGTGGTGGGGTAAAGTGTGGGCACTCCTACCTGCTGCAGGCCGTCCTGGCAGTGTGGAAGAGTAGGCCAAATAAACTAAAACTAAACTATTGAAACTTTTTTTAGCAGGTAAGGCCTATTGAGCTATGTAGCTTTTTTTCAGAAGCGACCTGGCTATCACAAATGATAGCTCAACAAAGTGGCTTGTCATCGCATCGAAATTTATTGCAGCCAAATACTCTTAAAACGCACGCCGATTCTAAATGTGGAGGGGAAAAATCAAATATCACCTGGAGGGGCTCTCCAGAGCTCCCTCTGGTTGGAGGGCCCATTCACCGGCAGTGGCGTGTGCAGGAAATTGCAGGGCTGCGCCTGTACCCCATTGTGCATTTTGGTGTCTGCCCCGCCTACCGGCGCAGCCTCCGACCTGGAAGTGCTGTGGCACGGGCGGCGGGGCTGCCGCTCCTCGAGCTCGCCGGCTGTGCGCTGCGGCTCGTTCCCTCACCGCGCGAGCAGCTCGTGGGCCTCCCGAACGCGCGCGCACACCCAGGGTACTACACCCCCCCCACCCCAGCGCCACTCGCACCGCTCGCTCACAGACCCAGGGTACTACGGCCCCACCAGCGCCACTCACTTGCAGACTCGGGGTACTACGGCCCCACCAGCGCCACTCACTTGCAGACCCAGGGTACTACGGCCCCACCAGCGCCACTCACTTGCAGACCCAGGGTACTACGGCCCCACCAGCGCCACTCACTTGCAGACTCGGGGTACTACGGCCCCACCAGCGCCACTCACTTGCAGACCCAGGGTACTACAGCCCCACCCGTGTCACTCACTTGCAGACTCAGGGTACTTCGGCGCCACCAGCGTCACTCACTTGCAGACCCAGGGTACTACAGCCCCACCAGTATTACTTGCGTGCATGCCCAGGGTATTACGGCCCCCCCCCCCCAGCACCACTCACTCGCAGACCCGGGGTACTACGGGCCCCCCCCCAGCCCCCCCCCCCAGGTGATACTGCTGTGTGGCGATCGAGCACACAGAAGCATAAGGACTGACCAATTGTAAACAGACCACGTGAAAACACTGCCTATGGCTCTTAACTCCTCTTCACGCTTAAACGTCCTCTGGCGTTCAATTGCCAATGTTTCGCTGCCTTGAGGACCGGCGGTGCCACCCTCGAGGCTTCGTTGAGGTCTGTCATGCCCTCAGCACAAACCCCCCCCCCTCCACCCCCCGTGGCGTGCATCCGTTGCGCCCCAGGTCCGTCTGCGAGGCCGCTGCAGGCCTACTACAGCGACTTCTGCCCTGACTACTTCTCGATGGCGGAGCGGCCACCGCACGAGTTTTGCCTGAGTCCCGACGACTCCGACTCGTCCACATCCATCGATCTGCTGGAGAAGAGAGGTGAGCATGGCGCAGCGCTGGATTCCATCGGCGGCCGTGGTCCATCCACCTCTTGATGAAGGTCGTGCCAAGCTGCCCCCGACTGTTGAGGCCCTCTTGAGACGCCCTGGAGTATAAAACTATTTTTTACGACTTTTTTTTTACCAGGTGAGGCCCGCTGAGCTATACAGCTCTTTTTCAGAAGCGACCTGGTTGTCACAAATGGTAGCTCAACGAAGTATCTTATTGTGTGGACATTTAAAGCAACCAAATACTCTAAACTCGTGATGATGATTCTAAATGTGGAGGGGAAAACCAGAGAGCTCGGGGAAAAATCCACGTGACCATGGGGAGAGAGACAAACTCCAAATATACAGACGTCAGGGTTGGGATCGAACGCACGCCCTCGTGCATACCAGGCGAAGGAGTTAATATCTCGCTGCCAGCTGGCGCTGACTTATACTCATTAAATATCTCACTAACGAAGGTGCTCTGTCACTGAAATATGAGTTATGGCTCCTCGGAAGCCCGGTGAGGTTAAAGGTTAATAGGTTACTGCCAGGGCTCACCGATGTCTCTTCACATCTCTATCAGATGGCACATGTCAGTCCACATTATGATTTTATAAACGGGGCTCTCTTCACACCATGGGGTCTTGAAAATTGCACAGCTGATAGGTAGTGACACTACCGATAAGCCGCAATATCGGGTCACGGATCACATCTTGTCAGAAATTGCTATCTCATTCATGTCAGTGACACTTTAATGGACAGATTGCCACATTACCTAATTATAAACAGCGCATATGGGATACGAATGGTGATAAAAAAAAAACTAATACAAAATATCGTCAGCTTTGTGTAATTACTGCCTGACAGGTGTTGACGTGAACATTTTTTGTTTGCCTTGCAGCGCTCGTGCAGACGGTGAATTCTGCAATTGACCTGATTGTGGCTCATTTTGGAACCACTCGAGACCCAGGGGTGAAGGCAAGGAACACATTTAACAACGCACCCACGTATTAAGTTAATGTTGTAAAACGACCATATATTAAGTTGTGTAAAACTATAATTTTATTTATCTTCAGGTTTTTTATTCAGCCCATGGCCTTGCCTGTCAATGACTCGGTGTGGGTGTCCTCGTGTGGTTATTGTGGTTGTGTTCGTTGGGCTGCGGTGATGTGTCTGTCTCTCTGTGTGTGTGGTTGTGTTGGTGAGACCTTACGTACTCTTTGGTTCTTTCGGTAAAGTCACGTGACTTTACCGAAATGACCAAAGAGTATGGATCCCTTCAGTCACGAAAACTTCAAATCTAGATTGAGACCTTACGTGTCCACCTGTGTGCGTGTTGGGTTAGTGACGCGCTGGCATGGTGGTTGGTGCACTGCGCTACAAACCCGGTGACTGGAATTCGATTCCCGGCCACAGCTAACATGAGTGGCGAGTGATAGCTGAACCAATCATGTGGCTCACCTATGTCGAATCAGTCTTAAAAGGGTGTCGAGTGCGGTGTGTAAAAACATCAGCACTGGGGAAACAAAGGCGGCCGGACGTGGTACCGCTGGCCACACTGGCATTAATAGGTTATCGCTAACGGCACTTGCAACCAACAGACTGTGAAAGGTTACGCGGCGGATTTCTTTGTCTTGGTTGCGCGTGCGTGTGTCCTCACATCGGTGGTGTAGGCTAAGCTCGGTGACAGCGCGGTGAGTCCCAACGTGGGCCACCTGGTACTCAAATACCTGTGTCCAGCGCTGAGCAACGTACTCAAGGATGGACTGAGGCCTCACCTCCTGGACCTCATCGTCGGCCGACGAAGAAACACCCCCTGGAGCGTCGTGGAGTCTTCCACGCAGCTCGGTGCGCTTGCGTCTCTGATTAATGAAAGATGCGTCACAAAAAAAGATCCGGCACTTGTTTTGCAGTCACGTTCCTAGCCTGTGCGTCTCGCGCTGTCTAGCGTGAGTTAGAAAGTTTTGCTGAAGTAGAAACAAATATTTTAAAGTTATGGTTTGTTGTCGTCATCCCACTCTATAATGTCACCCAGATGCAGATGCGTTTTGGTAACGCACCTCCCATTAGCAAGGTGGGCTACATACGGTGCGAAAGAAGTTCAACATGCGTACATACATAATGCTGTGATGTCATTTTCCGCTTTCTAAATTGAATACGACAAATGTGGCAACATTTGGCTAATTATCATTCTTAAGTTTTTGTAATGAGTGCAGCTTCAACATTGTGTCAAACAATCCTGCACACATGGCCCGTGTATTTACATCCATCCGTACCCAAGGCTGATTTGTCATTCCATCTCCACCATGCATCTCCACATTACAATCTGGTCACATTCGCCGAAAGTTAACAATTCCTGCGGAGGGGGCTGGTAGGAACGTTGGTTGCTCAGTCAGTGGCCAGGGTCAACGGCGGCGTGGTGTATTCCGCAAATATGCCCGACTGTGAGGGCGGGCACAAGCCGGCGTGAGTAGGTTAAACGTTGAGTTTTATAAGGGCACCACGGGGTGACCAGCCCCTACCCACCCAGCCCCACAACACCCAGCCCCACCCCTCCTACCCTCCACCCAGCCCCACCCTCCCCACCCAGCCCCTCCCCACCCTCCCCTCCCCACTCAGCCCCTCTCCACCCAGCCCCTCGCTACCCTCCCCTCTCCACCCAGCCCCACCCCTCTCACGTGGACAGACATCCACAGACATACACAATTAATCCCCTGCCTCCTTTGAATTAATCCTGGTTGGGTTTCCAGTCCACTACGTTTCCTACCAGTATTAATCTCCTGCCTCCTGTGAATGAATCCCGGTTGGGCTTCCAGTCCACTACGTTTCCTACCAGTAATATTTTTGTGTAAGCTACAGCCAATTTTAGAGACTTGGTATTCTGTCTTCCAACATGAGGTCTGGTTAAACCAGCTGAGTCGTAAAGCGGAACTGTCGTACCTCGCGTTGATGTTGACCACTGACGGCCCAGGTCCCTCAACCAAGAGACTGCATGGCCTATACCAGCACCTGTGTCAGCTGACGGAGCTGAGCAGCCAGAGCATGCGCTTCAACGCCTTCATCCTCGGCCTGCTCAAGTAAGTGTGCTGAGCCAACCGCTCCTGTCCCTCGTTCCCCACCATCACCGCTACCACCTTCACCACCGCTACCACCTTCACCGCTACCACCTTCACCGCCGCCACCATCGCCACCACCTCCACCGCGTGCCACAAATGTGGGGGCTTGCTTGTGTCAAAATGCCACTTCTGAGTAAATATTTATATTGATATATTTTAGTCTTGCTTTCCAACTAAGGTTGAAAGTGTTTATGACTGGCTCCATTCTTCCGTTGGCCTGTAATGGGAGGGGATCTATAACGCCAATGAAGATGATCCATTGTCAGCCATACTGCAGTAGAAAGTTGTATTGCGATGCAGACCTAACCTGTTGAAATTTGGCCAAATTTATCAGAGCGATGTCAAAAGCTCGCAGACAACCAAAAGCAAAAATGGATCATTTGAAAATATGCAAAGGTGTTTCGCCCTAACAGGTGCCCGTCGGCTTCCATACCGATGACTAAATACTTCCAAAGAGAAGCGCGTGATGGAAATATTTGCATTATGCTTGCATGCACATGATATTTCAGAACCTGTTTTGTTCAACACTTGGTGTTATTCTAATTTGTGTTCATATCCACAGCATGAAGTCCCTGGATTTCTGGATTAGCTACCTGCACAATCACGAAGGTACATAGACTGTCAATAAAAAACAAAAACAAAAAAAATTGTGTGCTTAATACATGTGTACATTATTTCCCCTGTTGTAAAGAAAAAATTAAATCAGCGACGTAGCTATCGAGCGCGCAGGCGGTGCAACTGCACCAAGCCCCATGGGCCGGAGGAGCCCAGGTGCCGGGCTACGAAGGGGTGGGAGGAGGTGGGGCACATCGGACAGGTGGGGAAAATTGGACAGGGGGCCCCATTTCATTCGTTGCACCAGGGCCCATGCCAACCACGCCCCGCCAGTGCTAATAACGCGTCCTCTCCACCTCCGACATTCACACCGGCCGCGCGTCCTGACCAGTCAATCGATGCCTGCGTCTCACTGCGCCCCCTGTTCGCGCGTGCGCAGGTATACTAACCACGCACTACCTGCCCGAAGGCTTCCTCGCGATGCCGAGCGGCGCGTGCGCCCCGCTCGTCGACGAGCTCGTGCTGCTGCTGCAGCCGCTGGCGCTGCTCCCGTTCCGGCTGGACGAGCGCTTCGAGTTCGCGTCAGGGGAGCAGCAGCGCGAGCAGATCCGGCAGCACGAGCGACTACGCAGCCAGTTCGAGAGTCTCCAGCGCTCGGTGCACTCCACCTTCCAGTTTATGCGCCACTGGAGCAACCCCACTGCCGCTGGCGCCGCCGACGCGACCGACGCCGCCGCCGCCGTCGACGCCGCCGCCGCCGCCGCCGCCGTGCCTGGCGAAGGGGTCGTAGGTCGCACGATGAACGAGCTGGCGGCGGACGCAGGGGTGCGGGGGTCGTACGTGTCGCCCGATGGAGGGGAGGATCGCGTGGCCGCCATCGGCCTGTCGGATCGTAGCGAGAAGGACCTTGAAGGTTTCGACCCCAACCAGGAGCAGTCGTTGTACAGCTCGTGCCAGGAGCTGAGGGACGACGTGGTGGAAGGTGACGTGGGAAGGGAGAAACGCTCGGCTGTCGCCGAACAGCGCACGTTGCCCAACGTTTCCGCATTACGGGATGACGCTGAGATCGATAAGGCGCCCAATCAGATGGTGACGTGCGCCGAGTGCAAACATTCCGCTTCCGGCGTGCAGAGCCAGGAGGCGGAGAAGCCTCAGGAAGGCGGCGAAAGTAGAGCCGAGCATTCTTTGGTGCAGAAAGAAGAGGAACACGCCAGCGCTTGCGGTCCTGCTGCCGTGAGCAACAAACAGCCGACGTCGAGCCAGTGGCAGTCAAGGAACGTAGACTGGTGGCAACAGCTCAAGGAGAGCTCTCAGATATATCTGACTGCAGAACGAGAGGGTGGGGGGCCGAAGTTTTCCAGGTGGAACAGGCCTCACTCGTTCACGTACGTGAAAGCGGGCGAGCTGCCAGAAAAGCAAATTTCGAAAAGCGCAGAGCCGCACAAAGGGCATTCGCCCGACGGGAGGAATTTTGCGCAGGGCGGCAAGGAAACGCTTCCCACGCCGGACGCCTTCAGGGTGTCCAGAGAGCCCACTCGCAAAAGTGGCGGGCAGGATTATTTGAAGAAGACGCCGCCTTCCGACCCGGTAGCTGGGGAGAAGAAACGAGGGTGGCTGGGAAGCCCCCCAGACTCGGATGACCTTGACAAGCCACTTGAGGGGGGCCAGGCAGTGGAGAGGCGCAGAGGCGATGTGGAAGCTCCGCAGCCGCCGGCCGTCCTGTGGCTGGGTCGTCTCTTCGGCGCGAGCCCTCACAGGCAGCAGCAGCAGAAGAAGAATGCGAAGGATGTGCAGACGCTGAGGTCACCCCAGATCAACAGGCAAGAGAACGGGCCGCGGAGTCGTTTTACGTCAGATCAAGGGGCAATATAACCCCTCTTTCCATTTCCAAGTAAAAGGCCATGCAGGAGGGTGTGTGGAAAAGTTTGGCACCAGCTATCGTAGAGTTCGGCGGTCGAGTCGCTACAGTTATCGGCCATGAGTACAGTAAAAAATGTTTTAAAAACAGCAGCGCTATGCCTCTCTGAATAAAATGAACGCGAAGCACGTTTGCGTATTTCGAGATTCAGTGGCGAATGGGACCCCACCCTGCAACTTTCAGGACGCCTCGGAACGGGAAAGGGTTTATAACCTCAAGCGGGTTAATTATCAACCGTCCTACGTAAGTGGGGGATCACCAGGTTGTACGTTTATTCTTTCAGGACAGCATCGCCGAGTCTTGAGACCGATTATTTTTCGGGAGGGTTCTGCGTTGAGATGTTTTGGATCAGTATCGTTTTGAAGAGTGTTTTGCGCGTGTGTTTGTGTGTGTGTGGGTGGGTGGGAACTGGAGTACTACGGAAAAAAAAACAGGAATATGGGGGGGTTAACACTTCAACGGTCCTCGCAGATTGTGTTTGTGAGCCCGCTTGCTGTACTATCATTTTATAGCTACCTTGTAGGCCGGTCACCCTTTCCCTCGAAGCACTGCATCACAGGCATGAACGACGGTGCCCGCTGACTAATGATTCAAATGGAATCTCATTCACATTTAATACGGTTTAAGTATGAATTTGTTTCCATCATGTCAAATATGAAAACTACATGGGTTTAAGTAACATATTTATTGCAACAAAAAAAATCACTGGCTGTGTTTGTCGGGGTGGATTTTGTAATCCTTTGCTCGTGAAACCACTGCCGGCACAGTCCGTTCATGTTTTATCTGGCATTTTTTTTTTATGAAATCGAAGTTTAACTGCTTTGACCGGCACGTCAGCTTGATGGACACAATAAAACCACGAATTCAGGGGCAAAATATTTAATTAACGTACTCTTCGTAAATGATTACTCAAAAGTCAAGAAGGCAATGCAAATGCACCTGTAAAAAATATATACGAATGTACCTTTTCATATTGCTTTGGTAGCTGTGCACGATTAAAAAAAAAACTCGAGATATCCGTCCACTGTGGCCCTAATGTAGAAAAACGATGTTTTGGGCACGGTTGGCTACGCACGCACCTCCACCGATTAGCACGGTTGGCTATGTACGGCGCGGAAGAAGTTCAACACACGTGTACACACACAGCAGAGAGATGTCTCTCATAGCAGAGATTTGGGGGCTCTTTCTGGGTTGAAGGAGGGTCATTTTGGTCAAAACGTCACAGCTGTTACATATGTTTTCCACTTTAGGGCAACGTTAGGGACAAGTGTGTCAAATTCCTGTGTAATCGCTGCGCTAGTGCCTTGCTCATTTTGTGCATTCCGTTTCGATGAATGATTGTATGGCCCTGACTAAATAACACACGGAGAGATACATTTTAACCGTTTGTCGCACTGTTGTTGTTTTGGCAACAACAATGTGGGGGCCTCATTCCAGGCTGCCCTCCAGCTGGCTCGGCCTGGACATGTCGACGTTCGGCCTCGTTCCCAGCCTGCCGGTCGCCACGGAGACCAACCAAGCAACCCTGAGCCCCGACAACGGCGGTTCTGTCTCCGCTGGGGCGACCACAGGCGCCCAATCGCTCGCCGCTCGACCCGCTCACGAGACGTCGCCACGGGAACGAGGCTCCACTGATAGCCGTGTGGACAGAGTGAGGTGAGCTGTGGCTGGCGAAGACTTGGGCAGGCATTCATCCAGCAGCGGATTGACCATGGCTCATAACGATTATGATGAACTGCTGCTGGTCGTAGGATTCCATTTTAATGGTTTTGAGGATTCCTTGCTCACGTAGCCACGGATGTCTAGCAGTGGGTCTGCTAGCCCACACTTGCTGAACTTCAATATTATCTTCATCACCGTCAGTCTCTGCTGCAATGCTCCTTCCTGGGTTGGTTGGCTGGCTGATGTGATTGTCCTGTATTGGTTTATCGATAATCTCATCACTTTAGTTATATTTTTTGTAATCATCATCATTGGTTATGGTTAATCCACTGCTCAATGAAGGCCACTGCAAACCCTCCACCATCACAGACCTGCAATGCAATAATTCATCTAGCGACCGGCACACGAGCTGATTTCTTTGCTCCATCTCCCCGGTGGCCCTTCCCTTGGATGCGTCCCATTCCTTGGTCACCGCTCTGCCGTCACCTCAATAAACAAAACGCGCCGAGGCCCGCGGGCTCATCACCGTTGTCGTCATCATCAGCAGTCATTGTCCAATCCACTGACGGCCACCACAATCCTTCGACGCGACAATCCACCTGGCACCTGCACGCAAACCGATTGCGAGTTTCTCATTTTTTTAATCTCTTTCCGACTCCCGTTTCTGGCTTCGGGGGCTCCGGCGGTGGCGGTGGTGGCAGGGAGGTGACGGCGCTCTGCCACCACGCGGCGGCCGATCGCGGGCAGCCGAGCGTCCGCCGGGGCGACGTCCCGCAGGCGACGGGCGCGGTCGTCCCCGGGCGGGTCCTGCGCCACGCGCAGGGCGGGCAGACGGGGCCGGCGCCCGGCGCCGCCGGCTTCGTCTCAACGATGGAGGACAGCGAGCGCTAGCACCGCGGGTCCTCCCGGGGGTCGCGACGTGACCCGGGGTTGGGGGGGTGGTCATCGTTGCAGCGCTCGACTGGCCCTGTCGTGGTATTGGTAACGATTTCGATTTTGCCGACTTTTTTCTGTCGTCGTGTATGGACGGCAAGTCGCGGATTTTAGGTTCGTACACTGAAAGTATCGCTGCTGAGGTAGGTTTAAGCGTGGCCGTGCGTTTTTGTACGTAGAGGGTTAGAGTTGCATTTTAAGTGATCCCGGCAAGGGATGTCCGCTTGTACAACACACGCCGACGTTTAAAACATTTAGATTTTCATTTGCGGATTGAAGCACTATTGCCGTTTGACTAAATGCCAAATATGATAACCAATTAATACACCGTTGTGTTTGAACCCACGTAACAAGGACTTCTTGATTAAATGCTTTCATTGCCAGGAGTCTCACTCAAACGGAACTCATCTTCTGGTGTCAGGATATGCATGTTAGGCAATGTAATTTGTCTAAAATGACTCCAGATAGTAACGATAGTACGACAAAAATAACTGTAACGTCTCATTAAATGCTCTCCTCCGGGCGCACTGTTAGACCCAGGTCGTGTTGCGGTGCCGCTCGCAATGGGACGGGTTCCGGCGCGCGATAAATCGATGGGCAGAGCCCAGAATTTGTTTGTTCACCTTACCACAGGGGCCGTTTTGCAGAACGGAACTGCGGCTTTCTTGCGATGGCGAGAAAAGAGGGTGACGAACGCTTGCCGGAGCAGGGCTACGATCCTTGAAAGGTTCGTCGATGAGCACTGAATCAAAGTGTTGAGTACTTTTTTTCGCTTAAACATAGGCACATCCTATTGTACACGGTATAATAATAATCCTTTAGCCGCTCCCCTGCCTGAGGTGTAGACCAACGTTGCTTTGCTGTGCAAGTAAGGCCGCATGCAGTCTGCGGAACGGACGACACAAACTGTCGTGTACCCTGTATTCTGTACCACGTGCCCTGTCTCATGGCTTAGCAGCATGCCTTGGTGTGGCCTGTCCATTCCCCGGCAGTACCCTCTGAATCCCAGGAATCTAAAGGGACCGTCCGATGGGAATTTGATTGTATTTGTTAATTTTCGTGTAATATTTATTCTCCGCAATGTTATCCCGATCGTGCCATTGCGTCCGTCACGAGACCAATGCATTCTCTCGGGATCTCTCGCAGACGAAGCGCAACCCTTCCTGTTGCAGAATGGCCCCGCGTAGGTGGGTATTGCAGAGCTACATCCGAGATCCTTTCACGTGACCGCACATTAAAAGAGGGCGGGCACTTTGATGGGATGTTGTTGAAGCTGCCTTCCCTCTGGAGTTCGACGTTAAGGATGCATAAAATGCTACCGACCTTCCCTCGCGTGTGCCACCTTGTGGCTCGAGTCTAATCGTGCATCGGTTGTCCCGCAGTTTATTCAACTCCAGTATACGTAACGTGTAAACGGTATTTAAATTATTGAAGGCATCGGGGCCCCTGTATATTGTGAGATAATACAACGTAACGCGATTAAGTAAGTGCTGCGTGTTCGAGAGGAAAGTTTCATTTTGATGAGATTGAATAAATTGGGCGCACTGATTGTAGTAACACTATTTTAAATTTAGTCGTGCAATTGAAGGAGGGAGAGACGATCCAGTTGTATTTTACCTAACATATGAACCGAGCGCTGATGATTTTAACCCATGACACATTTCACATTCAGAATGCCATGTCCGGATTTTAAGATGAGGCGGTACCGATCCATAAATATTACTTGCTACCACATCAGCACTGCAGGGGTGTATTTAGTTTACAACTGATAATAGAGAAAAATAATTTCAAAATGCTGCTTACCAGTTGGGAAACGTAAGGCAGGATTTCTAGTGATGCTGTAGCAATGTATGATAACCCACTATTTTGTCCATACAATGCCTCAATTTAAAGAAATCTGTTGCTATTTTGTTTTTGACAAATTGAATTGACCGTCCTTAAGCCTTAAAATTAATAATGCTATGACTACCGCTCTCAAGATATTAGCATCAGAGTTACACGCCGTACACCATGGCTAAGTACGTGTGCTTGCTTAGTATACTGTCCAAGATTCGTACACGGATGTCTCACGATCACAGTTTGAAAGAAAAAAAACCCCTTGTTTTTGTTGTTTACAAACATCCTCGCCATAACTTATGTTACCGAAAAGGAACTCTTTTGACCATGTGACCTTTTTATTGTTGTTGTAACCACGTGAAACACCGTGTAAACTCCTGGCCCTCTTGGCGGTGCTGTGGCGATTCGTCGCAATTGAGATTCGTCAGCACTTTGCACGCCCATGCTGGCCCGGCCGTTGTATATCTTTGGCTTTGGAAATTAATTCGTATTTAATTGTGCGTCTCGTTCAGTCCGTAGCTGGCTCATGTACAGTATAGATTCATTAATAAATTGTAACTTATTGACTATGGTTGTGTGCAATGTAAAAGATAATACCCATTACAATAAAGCACATCATTAAAGTAGTGTTGGGGGGGTGCTTTGTCTTCATTGTATGCTACTGCCACATCAATGAGCACCTTATATTCCTGTGGTTGAATGTTCAACTGCTAGTGAATCTAGTGGCGGTGCAATGTGAAATTGTGTGGTGTTTTTATTTTATGCTAAAGCAATGTGTCATCACGTTGTGGCAACTGAATAATATTACATACCTCAAGGTATAATTGTGTGCACCTTATAAAACGACCGTCCACGTTATTTACAAAGAACGTAGATGTGTTCACACGTTTGCACGTATGCATTGCCACACATCTTTAAATAATTGCTTGGTGCTTTGTGTAAACATTAGCACTGGGGAGACAAAGGTGGCTGGGCGTGGTTATGGCAACCCCCTCGTGTGCCTTCCTCGTGTGCTCGCGAACAGCACTTGCCCCTACGGTCTGTTAGAGGCATACGTTGGGGGGGATCATCGTTTCTATGCTTTTGTTGACAACGGATGTGTTTGGGAAATAATTGTATAGTGTATTCTTGGTTGTTTTGGTAAAGTCACGTAGAAGGGAAACGATAAAATAATAAAAATATAAAACAATAAAATTCTCACGACGTTTCGACTGCAACACAAGCAATCATCATCAGGTGTAAAAACCACAGCAAGAAAATTTGAAAAAAAAAATGAAAACAAATTCTTGCTGTGGTTTTCACACCTTATGATGATGATTGCTTGTGTTGCAGTCGAAACGTCGTGATAATTTTATTGTTTTAAATTTTTATTATTTTATTGTTTCCCTTCTACGTGACTTTACCGAAAGAACCAAGAATATGAATCCCTGCAGTCACGAAAGCTTTAAATCAAATTTGTATAGTGTGTTTATACACTTAAACAATAAAATTCTAAATTGCTAAATAATTCAGTACTGTTTTTTTTTAAACATGCTTGCAACTTGGACGGCTATCTTATGCAATCACATAAATAGTACATACCTTTGCGTGCGTGCGTGCGAGTTGGATGATTGCATATCAGGAGCGTGGTATATCAACGGCTTGTTGAGGCTTGCCTCCGGCGTGAATTGACCATGACTGATGGTGATGATCAATCCACATTGTGTGCCAACTCAACTGCAAATTAACGAGGTGCACCGCTGACCCTTTTTCTCCTTTGTTCGACATACCCGAAAGAAGGGGAGAGAGAAAAATAAATAAATTCTCACTCCAAAAATACATTGGTCCACATTTCCCGACGACATTTCCACCGTGTCCGCGGTGGCCTTGCCGCTCTGGTTTGTTCAAATCGCCGGAGTGGGGGAAGTGGGGTAAGTGTGGGTAGGTGGGTGGGGAGGTGGGGGGGAGGTGGGTGGGGGAGATGGGTGGGGAGGTGGGTGGGGAGGTGGGTGGGGAGGTGGGGGGAGGTGGGTGGGGAGAGGTGGGTGGGGAGAGGTGGGTGGGGAGAGGTGGGTGGGGAGGTGGGGGGGAGAGGTGGGGGGGGGGAGATGGGGGGTGGAGATGGGGGGTGGAGATGGGGGGGGGGTGGAGATGGGGGGGGGGGGTGGAGATGGGGTGGGGGGTGGAGATGGGGGGGGGTGGAGATGGGGGGGGGGGTGGAGATGGGGGGGGTGGAGATGGGGGGGGTGGAGATGGGGGGGGTGGAGATGGGGGGGGGGGTGGAGATGGGGGGGTGGAGATGGGGGGGTGGAGATGGGGGGGGTGGAGATGGGGGGGGGGTGGAGATGGGGGGGTGGTGGAGATGGGGGGGGGGGTGGAGATGGGGGGGGGTGGAGATGGGGGGGGTGGAGATGGGGGGGGTGGAGATGGGGGGGTGGAGATGGGGGGGGGTGGAGATGGGGGGGTGGAGATGGGGGGGGTGGAGATGGGGGGGGGGTGGAGATGGGGGGGGGTGGAGATGGGGGGGGGGGTGGAGATGGGGGGGGTGGAGATGGGGGGGGGGGTGGAGATGGGGGGGGTGGAGATGGGGGGGTGGAGATGGGGGGGTGGAGATGGGGGGGGTGGAGATGGGGGGGTGGAGATGGGGGGGGGGGTGGAGATGGGGGGGGGGGGTGGAGATGGGGGGGGGTGGAGATGGGGGGGGGGTGGAGATGGGGGGGGGTGGAGATGGGGGGGGTGGAGATGGGGGGGGTGGAGATGGGGGGGGTGGAGATGGGGGGGGGGGTGGAGATGGGGGGGTGGAGATGGGGGGGTGGAGATGGGGGGGGTGGAGATGGGGGGGTGGAGATGGGGGGGGGTCTCCTGGGGCTGAAACCACGGACCACCCCGCTCATCACGAGGGCCGAGGTTTGGAAAATGAGCTCCCGCGAGTCGACGCAGACACGGCCCCTCCTCGCCCTCTCGCCCATCTCGCGTCGAGGTGTTGCGCGCTTTGTCATGTGACGCACGTTGGAGGCTCGCGCCCTCTTTGTCCGATGCGGCGGCGGCGGCGGCGGCAGTCGCCCGCTCAAAAACCAAGCGCGAACGGGGGTCGTCGACGGCCGCTCTCGTGGGTGCGCTGAGCTCGCAGCGCGTTCTAATTGCGCGCATCTCTTTTGGAAGTTGCCACGGCTGGTAGGGAGGGGTCGTCGGCTGACGCGTGGGTGCCCTCCGATGCGCACAGTGCCATCGGACGCGTCTTTCCGTCGCGCTGTGCCCCCTTACACGAGAGGCTCGACGTGTCTTCACCGCAGTCAAGGTAAAGGTCACAAAGTGGTTACCCTCTTCTCACCAGCGTCAATGTTAGTAACGTAAAATATTTTTTTTGCAATATATATAAAACTCTTAAAATATCTTGCGAGGAAAATGTATGGAGATGGAAGAGCTCGTTTGCAAGAGAGTTCAGCGGTGCGCCGTCGTTACCTGTGATAAAGCCATCATTGAAAATGTCTTCCCCCACCGTCTCTTTCCCCAAGAGCTTACAACCTTGCACAAATTTAAGAAACGTGTCCACTCTTGTCTATGGCAACCGTGACGGGGCTGTTTGTTGCCGGCCGTTTGAAAGCTTCGGACCTGTGCTCAGCAACTGTGTTTAACAAAAAAAATAACTCCACTCACCGTGATTCTGGGCTTTGTTATAACAACGTTGAAATAAAACGGTGACATTTACACTACTCTTGCCATTCTCACAGTGGGTTTGCTCGCCCTTGAACAAATACAGTCACTGCATTGCATTGCGCTTTCGGATGCACTTCTGCGGCCGTCTGGAACGCTCTTCCGATATTAGGAAGCCACCGGAGCAATTTCACTTTACAATCTACATTCAAAACTCATTTCTTTTCGAATTGCTCGTTGTGTTTAGTTGCATTGCACTTTCCCCCGCAATTTTACATTTGCACGGTTGGCTACGTACGGTGCGAAAAAAATCAACGTACAAAAATACTGTCCGTCTTCGTCTGAATATCTGTATTCCTTTTCCAGGGTTCTGTATCACGTGTGTCCGCTACACTTTAGTTTTCATTGCTCTATTATGGTGCACGGTCATTGGTTCTCAATGTTGTCCACGGGGTATGCAATGGCCACGCTCCAGCGCCATGATTTAAAAGTTGTGACATTCCTCCGATCTGCCGCCTTAATCACCAAAGTTTCACTTATCAAGTGAGGATGCCAAGATACGGATAACATAATTTACTGGTGTCAAGGCATATACTGTACGTGTTGTCCGCTTATTATTTATTTGGTTGTTTACATTCCCCAAAATTACGCGAACGTTTTATGCACGATCTAGTTTTGGAGCGAACTGGGACCTTTCGGCACCACAGGCATCTTGCCTCTTAGACATCTTGGCAGGTGACCAGCATTGATCGGTTCAAGCAAGCCTGACACCGCTGATCGGAAACTGCATTTTTGAAAGCAGTTCCCAGAGTTGGCTTGTGTTTAACGACTGCTGCTGCAATGTATGTACTCTCAGAAAAGCCGCGTGGCTGATGGGTGTGTAAAGACGAAAATGTGTTTTTAAGTGCACGGATAGATCTGCTAAAGAGGCGTGCATCGTCTGCTCGCGTGGTTGTTGTCCAAAGTGTGCCCAAGTCGCGCGTGCCAGAAATCTATCTCGTTAGAGAATGGCGGTCTCGGCGCTATTTCACTGTCCCTCTGTGACATGTGTGGATGGATAATTGGAAAGTTAATTGCAATCTCTATCGATTGACGGCACACTGCAATACCGGACGTGCGCGCGCTCGGTCGGTCGGCTTCTTTTGAAACGGGGTCAGCAACGCGGAATTTATTGACACTCCCGGCACGCGACATCTACGATACACGTTAAAACCTCCTTTGCCCCGTACGTACGTACGTAGTAACCAACGGCGCATCATCGGAGGTGCGGTTAAGAGTTACGTGCCACCTCCGGACGCCGGTCCGGCGGCCAATCCGAATGAATATTCAGTGGTGTAAATTTAAGCAAGGTTTCATCTTCTTTGGTTCTTTCGGTAAAGTCACGTAGAATGAGAATAAAAGAATAAATTGTAAAATAAAATAACACAAACAGGTCCCTGCAGGGTGGGCTGGTAGGAACATTGGAATTTTGCGCAATTTTATGACATTGTACTTCCAAATGTTGGGTGCAATAAGACATATCAAGTCTCTGCGCTGTCTATTGCTGATTTTACACCCAACAGCACGAGATTTCACTTCGTTAAAGTATTGAAAGGGGACGGACGGACACATTAATCTATTGCAGGCTGGTACACTCAGTTTACAACTTCGTTCCTACCAGTATAATATTCTCACTAGCAAGATCTGAAAGGGGCAGATCTTGCTAGTGAGAATATTATTGTGTTATTTTATTTTATCAATTTATTATTTTATTCTCATTCTACGTGACTTTACCGAAAGAACCAAAGAATATGAATCCTTGCAGTCACGAAAGCTTTAAATCGAAAATTAAGCAAGGTTGAGAAACCCATTTGGCACAATAAAGGCGTTTCTGATTAGGGAAACGTTAACCCAAAACGGGCAAAAGTTAAAATCAATCGTGAGCGTGTCGAGCAGGCACCAGCTTACAATGCTCTCTCGTGTGGCCACAGCGGGTTTTAATTTATTTATTTAACCCATTGGCTTGGCGTTCAACAAAGATGCGCTTGACTAAAATATCCGGCACGCCTGCATATGTCGCGAACAGAAGGGGCGGTGAGTGGTGGAGGCGCTGAAAGGGCATTGATTACATAAATAGGGAGCAATTGATAAGGGGGGGTGAGGAGTGGGGTGTTGCGCTGATGAAAACAGGATTGACTTGAACCAGTTGAGAACCAATTAAGGGCAATATATTTTTAAAAAAGTCATTGAGAGAAACCAGGCCCGCACAGAGAGAGCATTTTGTTTAGTGTATCTAGATTAAATCTTGATTAAAAACTCGTTTCTTTAGAACTGCTTTTTTGTCTTTAGTTTGTACCCCCCCCCCGCACCTCCGATTAGCACCGTTTATAGCACCAACATGATTTAAATAATCTCAATGCGTGTGCCTCAGTGTTTCTAAACTGGCTACATAAAACCCGGAGGACCCAATGCTGCTGAAATGATGCACTCAAATTGAAGGCCGTGTGGTTGATTGATGTTAAAAAACACACTTGTATACTGTGTTTGTGCGCGCCCACACAATCGAAAGTGAAAGCCCAAGAGATTGAGAGCGGAGAAGACCGGAAGAGAGAGAGAGAGATAGGTGTCTGCCCTGTTATAAGCTTGAGTTTAAAGACAAACCAATTGCGACGTTAGTTGTGCAATATTCCTTAATTTCCTCGTTCTAGTACTGTGCTGTTATTGATGATCGTTTGTCTTTGTTGCTGTTGTTGATGTGGACCTCCCTTGTACACTACCTAAACCGGGATCATCGTTCGTGTAAAACAATAAAATCACCTTGAAGTGAAAATGTAGCAACTGGCGAATCGTGTATTGACCGGCGTTTGGCTGGCGAATATAGTAACCGCTGTTGATTATCCGTGATGATCAATAATAACAATTTAAATTTAGAATGGGTGTTCCATCCTAGGAAACAAAAACAGAACCAGGGCAAACGGCCAAACTAAATAGAGAAGGCCACTTTAAAGAGATGGGTTTTCAAAGCAGACTTAAATATATGTCAAGTCTCATTCTGTTCGAAATAAAAATCCTGCGAGATTGTAATACCCCAGCGACATCGGGGACTGTTGAGGGTTGGTGTCATGAGGATGTACGTTGCCGTGAATATGGTTACAGGGTTGGTTGTCGTGGTTTTATTAGCAGCGTTTATAATTGTGAAGAGTATACAATGTTTATTAGGGATATAAAATGACAGTATTCTACACCTTCCTGGTCTTGAAATATGTTTCAAAGAGGCATTATTTTCGATGCGCTTAATATATTTTCCAGTGTTTTTTTTTTACTCAATACAACGGCACTTATTCCAGAAAAAAAATGCATAGGACAGTAATGCTATCCCAAAAATTGTTACGGATTATAAGAGTTATGCTTTAGAAGTAAGGATAGTGTCAGTGACATGGCTAGCGTTAGGGACACAGGGGTATAATAAGGAAGATGAGAGTTAGAGAAAAGGGCTTATGGCCATTTAACTGGATTTTCAAATTCATTTCCTCGTGCTAACATGTAAGTGCTGTTTTATCTAATGAAATTTGTTTTGGAGACTCGGCAGGCCGGATGAAATATACAAAAGTGATTTGACCCAAGACCAGCACAAATCTTCACAGGCCATTGTTGTGTGTGTGTTTTTTTTGTTTGCTCAAAAAAAATAACTTTTAGTACAACTTCTGACTGCTACTGTGTAAGCAGGTGCGAACCGCCCACACGACCGCCGGTACACAGGAGCGGGAAGTAAAACTCGGAGGTGGTAACGTCAAAACACGGAACGGGTATCGGCAGCGAACCGACACGGTGCTTAGGGGTTGAAGGTAGTGTAGTGTAGGTAATAGGGGGTTGTTAAACCGGTAACCGTTCGACCAGGTTTGTTTTTTTGTTGTTCGAATATCCCGGTTCCAAAAATCAGGAACCCGTGCTGGCAGATTTCGCATTGCAGCCAAGTCTGCTCTCCATGAGTTTGTTTACACCGCATAGCATGTAACATGTGAAACGGAGGCAAACACGTTGACTGTAGTTGCATACAGCAATTGGGTGTTGATTGTCATAGTACTGTGTGTGTAGCAAACCGGAAACCCTTTATATATTTTTTACGGGTGTTTACGATGTGGTCACCGGTAATAACAAAAGACAAACAGTTTTAATAAATCGTCACATTTGGTCAAATTAAATGTTGGTGCTGACCTAAAAGCCAGAACAACACAAGGAACTGGTGATGGGGTGTTTTTTTATTGCATAATGCATAAAGGCCGAGTGCTTGTGTTGTTGGAAACTAATGGTTTTCCGGCCTGTACTATTATTCTTATCTGTAATATTGCGGTTTCCTCGTCCTGTACTAATGTAATTGATCCGAGCGAAGGACCACATTTATTTGGTGGTGATGCTGTTGCTGAGTTGGTGGTGATGCTGGTGCTGAGTTGGTGGTGATGCTGGTGCTGAGTTGGTGGTGATGCTGTTGCTGAGTTGGTGGTGATGTTGGTGCTGAGTTGGTGGTGATGCTGTTGCTGAGTTGGTGGTGATGTTGGTGCTGAGTTGGTGGTGATGCTGTTGCTGAGTTGGTGGTGATGTTGGTGCTGAGTTGGTGGGGATGTTGATTTGGTGGTGATGCTGTTGCTGAGTTGGTGGTGATGCTGAGTTGGTGGTGATGTTGTTGAGTTAGTGGTGATGTTGTTGTTGAGTTGGTGGTGATGTTGTTGTTGAGTTGGTGGTGATGCTGTTGCTGAGTTGGTGGTGATGCTGTTGCTGAGTTGGTGGGGATGTTGATTTGGTGGTGATGCTGTTGCTGAGTTGGTGGTGATGTTGTTGTTGAGTTGGTGGTGATGCTGTTGCTGAGTTGGTGGTGATGCTGAGTTGGTGGTGATGTTGTTGAGTTAGTGGTGATGTTGTTGTTGAGTTGGTGGTGATGCTGGTGCTGAGTTGGTGGTGATGTTGAGTTGGTGGTGATGTTGTTGAGTTGGTGGTGATGTTGTTGAGTTGGTGGTGATGTTGTTGAGTTGGTGGTGATGTTGTTGATGAGTTGGTGGTGATGCTGTTGCTGAGTTGGTGGTGATGCTGGTGCTGAGTTGGTGGTGATGTTGAGTTGGTGGTGATGTTGTTGAGTTGGTGGTGATGTTGTTGAGTTGGTGGTGATGTTGTTGAGTTAGTGGTGATGCTGTTGATGAGTTGGTGGTGATGCTGTTGCTGAGTTGGTGGTGATGCTGGTGCTGAGTTGGTGGTGATGTTGAGTTGGTGGTGATGTTGTTGAGTTGGTGGTGATGTTGTTGAGTTGGTGGTGATGTTGTTGAGTTGGTGGTGATGTTGCTGAGTTGGTGGTGATGCTGTTGCTGAGTTGGTGGTGATGCAGGTGCTGGGTTGGTGGTGATGTTGAGTTGGTGGTGATGTTGTTGCTGAGTTGGTGGTGATGTTGAGTTGGTGGTGATGTTGTTGTTGAGTTGGTGGTGATGTTGTTGAGTTGGTGGTGATGTTGCTGATGAGTTGGTGGTGATGCTGTTGCTGAGTTGGTGGTGATGTTGTTGCTGAGTTGGTGGTGATGTTGAGTTGGTGGTGATGTTGTTGTTGAGTTGGTGGTGATGTTGTTGAGTTGGTGGTGATGTTGTTGTTGAGTTGGTGGTGATGCTGTTGCTGAGTTGGTGGTGATGTTGTTGCTGAGTTGGTGGTGATGCTGCTGCTGAGTTGGCAGTGATGCAAATAACAACAACAACAAAAACAACAACACTTTCGTCAATAACACTGTGACCTTAAATGGAAGAAAATAATAATCGAAAAGTCGACGTTTCGGACAATGTCTCTTCTTCACACCACAGCGATCATCAACATAGTGCTAATCTCCCATTAACACTGCTGTTGTGCGCATATGCGGGGACGGTGCTCTTGTGCGGCGACGGAAGCTCATTTCATGCTAATCCCTCTCCCTAATCTCTCTCTAATCTCCCCCATTAACACAACTGACGTGCTTGCGCGCGGGGATGGAATTCCTTTCCAGCTCGGACCCCGCTTGCTTGCCCATCGCCACATAAATAACCTCTTGTTGTTGTAACAGCTCTCTCGCTGGCTCAGCAGTTCCACTGCTGTATTATTTTTTCCGCCTGAGGACGACCGCTTGTGTTGCGATCGAAACGTCGTGATATATTATTTATTTTATTTTATTTTTCTACCTATTTGACTTCACCGAAAGAACCAACGAGTATAACAATATATGGGTTAGATCGCGTAAATATAAATGTGTCGTTAAACCTGCCAACTACCCGGCATAGCCAATGAGTAAAGTTTGTCACGTAAACAAAGCGTGTCAATTCGTTGCTACTTCAGCACACCGGTGTGTTGGAGAGTAAACCCACAACATTTACAATCCGAGTACGACGTTTCGCTGATGATTACCACTAGCTTCATCGTGCGATTAGCCAGAAAAAAAACATCATTATGTAAAATGTAAAAAAATGTTTCCTGATTCACAGTACTGTTTTTTTAATGGATATATGAAAAGTTACCTACGATTAGCTTTTGAATAACATACAAAGCCTTCAATAATTATTAATCAATAATAATCAAACGTTTTCTACTAAATACACTTCATTTGTATTGAGCATAATACTAAAACGTGTACTATCTGGAGAACCACGACACATACCGTAAAGGCAGGGTGAGTTCCTGTCTGGAAGGATGGCAATTCACCAGCATTCATTCAGTGGGCCTTAGCCGGTAAAATAAAATAAAAAAAATAGTTTTTAGTTTTAAGATTCAAGCAAAGCATATCGGTTGTGAGCCACTGCATGTCCAAAGAGGTCTGGCAATTTCTCGCACTGAATCGATGCGGTTGAAATGATCCACTCCCCGAAGTGACGACGGGGTTTCGATTGCTTCTGTGTAAAGCGGTCTCATTCCTTTAAAGTGGTAGGAGGCAGACGAGACGCGCGAATGTGGACCGTGGACATTTGTCCGGCTCACGTTGTGCGCACTCTGGAGTGTAACCGTGCTGGAGCGTAACCGTGCTGGAGCGTAAACGTGCTGGAGCGTAACCGTGCTGGAGCGTAACCGTGCTGGAGCGTAACCGTGCTGGAGCGTAACCGTGCTGGAGCGTAACCGTGCTGGAGCGTAACCGTGCTGGAGCGTAACCGTGCTGGAGCGTAACCGTGCTGGAGCGTAACCGTGCTGGAGCGTAACCGTGCTGGAGCGTAACCGTGCTGGAGCGTAACCGTGCTGGAGCGTAACCGTGCTGAAGGAAGAGGCCAGGGGGCGTGACATCGAGATGACGCGGGTCCCTTAAAGCCACGTTACGCGGCGGCAGCCGTGGCAGCTTGACGCAGCACGCGGGCTCCAGGGGGCCACGCTCCGGAGTTCGCATTTTGCTTTCGTCTTCCAGAAGCCGGCGCGAGGAAGCACGTTGCGTGAGATCGTGCGAGCGCGCTGCCCGTGTGTGGGGCGGGCAGGCAGGGGGGGAGTCAACAGAGAGAACGCGGTAGGTGAGTAACGCGCCTGTGAGCGTAGCACGTGCGCGCGTGTGTGTTACCGCTTGTGTTGTCGTGTCACTTGCGTTGTGTGGGGGAGCCGGTGGTGCAGCGGGTTAGTCGCGTGCTGCGGCTACCGACTAACGAA